AAAGGAAGAGACTGGCTCCCAAATATTATTCTAATTATTGAGCTAGATGGCTGGCAATACCTATCCTAAGAAAGCTTCTCTATTTCTTTGTTTCTTTTTCTCTTTCACAAATATCTTTATTGAGCAACTACTATAGAAATGAAGAACCCAGGAGACATATATGAAAAGTCCTTGTCCTTAAAGGGAGGTTGAAGGGAAAATAGGCATGATCCTATATAATAAAACCCTAATATGCAAATCGACCGAACAGTGGAACGACCTGTCACTATGATGTGCACTGAACAGCAGGGGGAGATGCTTAATGCGGGAGCTGCCCCCTGGTGGTCAGTGTGCTCCCACAGGGGGAGCTCTGCTCAGCCACAAGCCAGGCTGCCAGCTGCCAGCACAGCGGTGGTGGTGGAGGCCTCTCCTGCCTCCTCAGCAATCCTAAGGATGTCCAACTGCAGCTTAGGCCTGCTCCTTGCTGGCAAATGGACGTCCCCCGAGAGCTCCCATGCTGCCAGAGGGATATCTGATTGACAGCTTAGGCCCGATCCCCCGCGGAGTGGGCCTAAGCCAGCAGGTGGACATCTCCTGAGGGGTCCCAGACTGCGAGAGGGCATAGGCCGGGCTGAGGGACCCCCCCCCTCCCCCCCGAGTGCACAAATTTTTGTGCACCGGGCCTCTAGTAATTTAATAATATTGGAGGGGTAAACGATGAAATTATCACTGCCTTAAACTAAAGAGGTAATGTGGAGAACAAACCGATGGAATTTACCTGGATGCAGAATAAAAGATCAGGAGATAAAAATAATAAAAGAGAAGGTATTAGAAATAGAAAACAGAAATTAGAAAGTTTATGCAGGTAATTGCTCTTTTTAATAAGAACCCAGAATAACTACAACAGAAAGAATAGTGAAAACTATAAATGAAATGTGCATAGCACACTTTGGAATAGTTACATTTAATTTGAACAGAGCAACATCAAGAACAACGATTGCTACATATTCTCATAGTATAAGAAAAAAGAGTGAAAAAGTAAAAGAAAAACAGAAGGAGGCATGAAACTTGCTAATCATAGAATTTTTTACATCATTAAAGGTAGGAAGATAGTGGAGCAAAACCAATATATGTTTAAGGAAAAAAAGATTATAGACTCTATGCTTAAAAAAAAAAAAGATACTGTTTGCTTTGTAAGATAAGACCTGAAATAAATGGACAAAAGAGATTAATAAAGAGATTAAACTGAACATAAAATTCAAGAATAAAAATAAAATTTTTTAAAAAATATAAAGGTATATATATTTTATAGATTAAAGGTAAACATTGAAGTAAATTTAATACTACAAATATGGTTAAAGTAAGGAAAGTTCTAATTGTTTCTGTAATTTTGAAAAGTTAATGTATTAGTCAGGGTTTTATATATATGTGTGTATATATATATTAGTTCGTTGTGTGTGTGGATGATACTGGTTATATATACATATATATACACATCTCTAATATAATTGCAAAGATGTATTTCAATTAAATATTGAAATGAATAATTTAAAAAATGAAAGCAAAAATCTCAAAATTATTCAAAAGAAAAAAATCAAATTAAATATATACAATTGGTCAAATAAATATATTTTATATTAATAAAGATTTTAATCTCCAATGAGACCCCAATATCAGAAAAGCTTTATACAAGATAACAATATAGAACTGTATAGAATAAGTCTCTAAGTAATATAAGGATAAATTGACAGAAACAAAAGACATGAAATACAATTACTTATCTTTTTCAGTGTTTAATCTTTAATATAGGTTAAAAACAATATACAAAATATGAAGAAATATGAATAATATTTGATTTGTATGTATATGTACATATACTAATATATCCTTACCCAATATAAATATATGAGTCCCAGTGCACAAAATTTGTGCACAGGGGTGGAGGGGGTCCCCTCAGCCTGGCCTGCACCCTCTCGCAATCCGGAACCCCTCAGGGGATGTCTGACTGCAGGTTTAGGCCCAATCCTGTGGGCCTAAAATGGCAGTTGAACATTCCTCTCACAATTTGGGACTGCTGGCTCCTAACCACTCGCCTACCCGCCTGATCACCCCTAACCACTCACCTGCCTGCCTGATCACCCCTAACCCCTCTGCCTGCCTGCCTGATGCCTCTAACTCAGCCGTGGGCAAACTATGGCCTGCGGGCCGGATCCGGCCCGTTTGAAATGAATAAAACTATTGAAAAAAAAGACCGTGCCCTTTTATGTAATGATGTTTACTTTGAATTTATATTAGTTCACACAAACAGTCCATCCATGCTTTTGTTCCGGCCCTCCGGTCCAGTTTAAGAACCCATTGTGGCCCTCGAGTCAAAAAGTTTGCCCACCCCTGCCCTAACTGCTCGTCTGCCTGCCTGATCGCCTAACTGCCTCTGCCTCGGCCCCTGCCACTGCAGTTTCGTCCAAAAGGATGTCTGGAATGAAGTCCGGCAGGTCATACAGCTGTCCGGTCTAATTAGCATATTATGCTTTTATTATTATAGATATAATTAAAACCTTAATAAATTTTAATAAACAGAAATGATATAGAATATGGTTACAATAAAATAAACATAAAGATAAAAATACTATCTTAATCACAAATCTTAATTTCTTGTAAGATGGAATAATAGGAAAAAAACCCACCCTTTCCTAAATAACTTTTGTATCAAAGAGGAGATCAAAACTTTATCAATACGATACTTGGGAAGAAGCAATATTGGGAATGTTGCATGAGACATGGCCAAACATGCAATCATATTAAATGCTTGTATTGTTGAATAAGAAAATACAAAAATAAACAAACTAAGCTTTCATTATGAGAAACCAGAAACAAAATGACTAATAAATGTAATGAAATCATTTGGTGCAAGATAAAGGCAGAAATTGGTGAATTAATAGGAAATTAGTAGACTTAGATTTTATTTTTATTTTTAGAGATACTGTTTTAATCTTTAATAACTTTAATCATACAAAGTTATGTAAAATCAGAAATGAGAATTTGAATATAACATACCAAAGAGACTAAAATTGTAATATAAAATGTGCTATCTATATGGTATTTTGAAATTTAAAAAGTTATATATAGAAATAAATTAATTGCCTAAAGGAGAATAAAAGTGGAAGAGCCAATAATAAAGATATAAAGTTATCCAAGATTTATTTCCAAAAATACATTTGGTTCAAATATGTATGACGTGTTTTTTTCACTCATTCATCTACTACTTATTTTTAAAATATATTTTATTGATTTTTTACAGAGAGGAAGGGAGAGGGATAGAGAGTCAGAAACTTCGATGAGAGAGAAACATTGATCAGCTGCCTCCTGCGTACTCCCTCCTGGGGATGTGCCCGCAACCAAGGTACATGCCCTTGACCGGAATCGAACCTGGGACCCTTCAGTCCTCAGGCTGACACTCTATCCACCGAGCCAAACCCGCTAGGGCACATCATTTTATGTTGTGTAATCTATTCCACAGCACAGGAAAATATGTGAAGCTTTCCAATTAATTTTAGGAGGCAAGCATAAAATAATTTTTTAAGCACCTGCTAAAGATAACTTAAAAAACCCTAACAAAATCTGAGGCAACAACAAAGTGTAAGTAAAATGCAAAAATCCTAAATAGCAACAAATGAAACCTAGTAATTTATTAGAAGAAAATAAGATTATGATTGAGTTTGACTCATTCAAATAAAGAGAGATGGCTCAAATTGAAATAATTAATATAATTTATCTAAACAATAGGTATAAAGTTTAAGAATATAATCATTTTGGTATAAAACAAGTGCATTTTATAAAATGCAGCTTGCATTCTTTAAATAAACAGTAAACTAGGATTGCAAAGAACTTTCTTTGAATTAATGTTTTTTACTAGGGTGTTGAGCCATTAGTTGAGAATCATAGCTTTAAATACTAATACAAAATAAATATTTAAAAATCTCTCTGAAACAGAAATTTTGTTTTATAGAAAAACTAACATTAAAAAACAGTGCATTACGATTATCATTAAATATTGTTATTAA